ACGTTTTGCAATTGTGGTGCCAAATGTGGTAGGCAGATGAAACCCACTCCATCTCGCTTTACATTAAATTCATAATTATAGACTTTATTCGTTAATTACAATGTCATGAGTATGTGTCTATACGCATGAATATACAAATTTACTAAGTCAGTGGTATTGCAACGACATATTTAGCTAAAACTTGGAAGCAGTAGCCAATTGTTACAAAAACAAATGAAATAGAAGGGAAAATATCGAAACGGGAGAAGGATGCGATCTTTGCAAAATTCAACACTTTAAATTAGCTCTAATCTCTAATCTTACTCTAATCTAATGTAACACTATACAGGGTGGGGCAAAAGTTGCAATACATTTCTTGTATAGTGAAAAAAGCTGCGTTGTTTTATTGACCCTGTCTACTTAAGAGAAATACTTCTGGTAGCATTAGCATTTAAAATTACAAAGGACGATCATATTTCTTTCTTATTTCCATATATATGTTTTTAACCCCTTCCCTGATTTAAGCCTCAAGAAACATGGCTCATGGAATAAGGGATGAGCAAGATGAGAGAAACTAGATGGAGGAAACTCCAATGCTACAAAGACTCGATCATTGCATAGGGATGGTTGAAGTCCACCATACTTCTTTGTCTGGCTAGTAGATTGATGTTGCAGATGGCATCTCTGGAGAAAATTCCAAAGAAGAGAGGCATGATTGATACTAGATGGAGGAAGGGAAAAGGGCAGAAGAGCCAGATGAGGTGAGAGGAAACAGGAGGAATCCAGAGACCGAGCCGCACTTCGTTAAATAGACTGCAGACGGCCTCTGAGGCGGAAGAACTCGGGAAGAGAGCTGGTCCTTGACTGGCTGCTGCTCTAACTCCATAGAGTATTTTTCTCTGACTACTGTGGTCATCCGTGGAAATGACCTTGTTAGATGCAACTTCCATGCATAAAGCACACAAAGGAGGGGGTAGCAATCATAATTCTTTCTCATCAAGACATGGGTATTGTACTGTGGGCATGAATCCCTAGCCTAAAATTGAGACATTTTCATGAACTTCGAAAATTTGATGCTTTGCCAACTTCCTAAGAGGAAATTTGTGTTTCAGTTCATCGAGAAATTCACAGGTATATTGCACCTTCAAGTTTCTTCAACTAATTAGAGTGTGCACCATAGACCTGTAATTATCTTAGAACAGTTAGAAGGCTGGGTGAGATACCTGTTCTTCAATATTGTGACACAGGTTGCCAATTTAAATACTTTCATAGCACGTTTTCTTGAAAAGGATGGATGCAAAATAAAATAGAGCCTAGGACATATAATAAAAATAATTTAATTTTGCCCCTGATTTTTTGTTAATTCAGCAGGCTGGTCTGTCTGTAATATACATTGTATCATGGTGCCACTGACACTTAATCTAAGCCAATCACATTTTACCTCCCGAACCAAACTTAGGGGTGACATGAGACTCTCACCAAAGCCTATCATCTGAAACCATGGAGTCATAAAGACATTTGCATCAAAAGTAAATGTTAAAAATGGAATATGGTCAGGGTTCAAGTTTGCACTCACCTTCTTCATGTTCTAATGATTTCCTATATGAATTCCAGGGTGAAGCCCACACACCTCAACACCGAAAAACTGGGAAATGACAGGAACTGCGGTCCCCATTTGACTCCAGCTGGGGCAGCTGCTCGGCAAGAGCTTCTCTAAAGGATTCGAAGAAGAGAATGAATAGGTGAAACTTACTTTGAAATCCAAGTATTGAGCACGAAGAGGCCAACCGTGCCCTTTAGGCCTAAGACAAGCGTCACATTTCAGACATCCACAGCGGTCCTGCGGTACTTTGGAGTCGCGTTCCCATCGATGCAGTTCCCCTCCTCGCTTGTCAAGAAAAATCACTCGAGTAAGCTTTAGATGCATCCAACTACCATGCTCGATTCGTTCGGCAAATTTTGGGCTGGAGAGCCAGTCCTTCCCCCGTGTACGAGGCAAAAGATTGAATCTATATGAACCAAATAAGCCTAACCTTTCTGATGAATTAAAAAAAGAGATAGATTAATGACCATGTGTAAATTGTCACGATGGAATCAGTACAAGTCTCAAGCCCATTTCACGGAGCAATGACGGATGGAGCACCTCCGAATCCGTCGTTCTCTCGCGTGCCCCAACCCCCAATTCTATCACCATTTGCGACCAAGGAGGACTTCCCGTCTTGGAGGGCACGAGCCTGCGGATGCGCTATTTGAATTATGCAAGTCTTTAATCTCTCTATAAATTATGGGAGTGAGTGAAGATGAAGTATCAATACATCCAATATGCAACACCTGGAAAAAGAAAGCGCCCACATTCGTGAAGAAGTGATTGATTTCCCATAAATCAGTGCAATTTGCAATATTGCCTTCTTTTTCGAGAGGCTGAGATGGTTTTAAATTTACCTGATTCAAAGCGAATCAAATTATGTATTTTAAGGGTGTAAGTCCTATTGTTAGATTGGTTATGTTTAGCTTTTAACTTGACGGAAACTGTCCTTCAAGACAATGGGAAGTAAATAACGCGTATTTCTCGGGAGTTGAATGATGTCAGACAGACTGTCGTTAAGATATTCACACGTAATCTCAGGTAACACGTATACCATTACCCTGGAAGATTTGAGAAATGTTTGAAATGCATCGCTGGGTCTAACTAAGTTCTATGTTCTGGCATCACTTAGGTATCATTTAGTATCATTTACACGCAAGTGCATAATTCATCTTCGCCTGATCTCGGATGTAAACACTAGGATCTGAAGCACCTTTCATATCGCGATACATCGCATCTTGCTTGCTGGCACATGCTCCTTGATGTTATTTGTTGTTTGTTATCTGTTACGTGTAGGAAGTGTCTAATCACGTGTAATCGATTGGCACTCGTAGAAATGCCAAGTCTTTCATGGCATTTGAAGGAAGAATACAATCGCATGAAGATGGAGTTCGCTGTTCACCGTGCATCAAAACCCATCGCCCGTCGTAAACGCACAGTCCTATATATTGCGAGGGAATTGAAGATGCAACGAACCAGGGGTCTCAAATTTTGTTCTATAGATGCTTTCATTGCCGTCGCAAACGTTCTCAGTGCATGCTTCAAACAAGGATGACGCAATCCGAAGGATTGATTCCGTATGGAGTGTTGGCCAAAAAAAAGTTCCTTGAAGCAAACATCTCCAAATTCCTACACTTTAACTCATTTGTCATTGTTTCCATGGCAGTTAGACCTATATTAGATGATAGTAAAATAAATTAGGCCACTCAAGGTCCTTCCATTATATTTTCCTAGTACCATACCGGGGAACGATACAATCTGACACACAATAAAACTATGCCCGCAGCCAGTCACTTCGAGATTCTTAACAAATATGAATAAAGGCTTCAAGCCGATCCTCGTAGCGCCTGTGATGCTTCTTTCACTGATGAATGGATGAATGGATTCGAATGGATGCATATCTTCACCCTGCCTCTCGCATGGGTGAATTTTAATTCAAATTATTAGAATGTGAAATTTTTAGGGGAAATTTTTAGAATGTGAAATCACACTCGGACATAGTTTAGCAGCACCAGGATGGGTCGTTTCATGGCGAAAAAAAAAAGGTTATCCTACGGATATAATTGCACCAGAATTATTCATCTATTCTAATCAAATAGGAACATCGAAGCCACTCAAATTGTCATGAAATATAATAGTCCGAAGAGAATTGGGATTTCCATCTGATTAGAAAAGTCACCGGATTTCTAGGATCGTGAAACTCATGAAGTCACGAACTTAAAATATTGGTTGATTCGTTTCCAAATATTAGACCTCGGTTCAAATGTTGATTTTTCTGTCGACGAAGCATTAACTGCCCATCCTTCTCCGCAGGAGGAAAAACTTGTCGCCCATTCATGACTCAGTCCCTCGGAAAAAATATGGGGAAATTGGAGCTACTCCTAATTGCTCCTCCGAAGGGACCTTTCTTGAATGGAAGTGTCCTATTGTGGGGTCCTTATGCCGTGCCATTAAGCGGCAAAAAGCGGCTAGCACTATTATGTATTATTGACGTCTTTTTAATGAGGAACAAACTGCACATGCACTCAACCCACTTCACAAAACGAAGAACAAACAATATATGCCCTTAACTCTCATTCCTTCCATCGTACAGACTCACTCGGGACTAGCAGCTGTTCTCCTGTGCTGTGGATGTGGCCTGCTTCCTCCCCTCGCTCCTCGCATGTAAGAATAATCCAGGATTCATCTGGACGCGAGGGCACCCGAAAGCAATCAGACTCTATGAGAACATTCTCGATAGATGAATTAATTAATATATTAATTTATTAATTATTACGCATTAGTACATCACCAAAAATGAAATGACTTTTCCCTATGGGTATTACTTTGATCAATTTTATCGTCAGACCAGAAGACGTTCAGGCCATTGCAAAATATCTTAGGATTGATGGAAGCCTCAATAATATATTTTGAAGTCCTAATTGAATCGGGAAAGGATTGAATTAGCAGTTATCTTTTTTTTTCTCGTATCAAATTTCCACACTTCCAAGAGTAACTTATGGAATCCACTGTCTTAAACAGAACTTTCTTAATTTCGAGACGGATAGACATGCTGGGGTTTCCATGGCAAGTCCTTTGGTGAACTTTGTCCTTTCAGAGAGCAAAAGACCTGGTCTATTATGAGGAGAGTAATTAAGTGTGTAATTTTTTTCTGCTGTATTTTCAACTGAAGTATTTTTTATTCTTCACGCATTTATTTCTCGGCAGAAGAAAAGACATATTTTTCATCATTAGGCCATCAATTCCATTTCCCAATAATTATTTAGAAGAGTGGCTTGCCAAAATACTAATATCCCGTTGTTGCAGAGTAGACAATTTCCTTTTAGGGGTCTGGGGATTAAGAGAAGAAAGCTGGACCTATATTTGCGACGTTCAATTTTCTCGCGCTCCTCGCCGATGCGAACGCGAGAAATATGGATTAACCCTGTCGGATATCATGCAAGTATGGGTGCCGCTCCAGTTGAGGCATGGAACAGCAAAAATATCAGCACTCAGCAAACTGAAGAAACAGAAGGTGATATTCTGATATACAAATTATGTAGCTCTTTTATGGCATTAGTAAGCCAAAATCAATAATCCTGAAACCCAATGATAGGCCAGAAAAAGGGTAATATTGGGAAGAATATCAAGGCGTTGGTCATCATGGCATGTGCAGTCCTCTGTCTCAACGAGGTGGGCCAACAATAATCGATCTTTCATTCCATGAAAAATGACGAGAGATCGTCGATGGTCTCTTGGCTTGGAATTCCAGGTGAGGCTCTTGATAGAAGAATACCTGTCCTACCCCACCATCACAAACTATTTGATGAAGGACGTCGACATGGTTCCGGCTCCGGCATTTACCATTTGCTCACAACCGTCGGTGAAGACTTCTTTCAAGTTGGACCCAGACACGGATTTCATGGAATTCGAAGAGTTCAGTAGGACCGCAGTTTTGCTTTTCGACGTTGTCCTGCACATTCCCTTCAGCTCGCTCAAGTTCACGAATTCCTCAAGCGTCAACGGGGAAACCATTTTTCTCCTTCCAAAAGGTAAGTCTTCGAAAAATGCCAGTATAAATATGGAAACTTCAGACGCATGAATGCGAGGATTCTTGCTTCTCATAGATAAAGGGCATTGGAATGAGAGAACACTTTTTGCTGAGAACAAGAAGAAAACACATTATTTCAAGTGCTACACACTGTTCTCAAATAAGTATGTGGAAACTCAACCGAACGGTTGCCTCGGTGGAACTTTCGTCTTTGACTTCAAAGACCTTGGTGGCATCACCGAACCAAAGGTATCTATGGAATATACACAATCCTATTTTGCAAATGAGGTAAATCAACAAATTGAGTAGATGCACAACTAATTTGCATTTCATTTCTCTCACACATTGTTCACTAGATTGAAGTCTTTGTTCACGATCAGAGGGAGAAATTCGCTTTGCGTGTTTCCAGACCGGAAAAGTTGGTCATTTTCAACAACACCATCACCAGTCTCTTCATTCGTCCCGAGGTCATTCAGAAACTGAGTAGGAAAGATGCACCCTGTTCGCAGCTCGAGGACTACAGCTACACCAGGGTCCGTCGAGATTAAATGAATTATATGCCAAGAAACTATTTATTTCAAGTGAAATAATTTTCCACACAGTGCATGGAGAACTGCTTTTGGGAGAGATTCCAATCTCGCCCTGGCCTTCCGTGTATCATCTCGTCCCTCCTGACCCAGGAAGTCAACTTGACAGTACCGAAATGTCAAGACCGAAAAAGCGAAAAGGAGATGGTTGGAGAACTGCTGTCAGCCATCCCTACGGAGATGCCCACCCTAGCTGATAATTGCAACTGCCCGAGAAGGTGCAATATGACCGAGTATCACATCTCTGGGGATCCCACCTCGGCCTGCAGTCAGGAGGTTCAATCTTTCCGCGGTGCTGGGAGAGCGATTCTCTTCTTCACTTTCCCTTCAAAACTGGTTTGCATTTCCTTATTTTCTCCCCATTTTCAAGGCTAGACTAGCTCTCCAAATGGCAAGAATTCGCATTGTATGTTTTCACCAAGATGCCCTTTCTAAAAAAAAAATCGACTTGACATGCTGGCTTTAATGTATAACCTGATTCCTCCCACTGGTGAGCTTGTCTCTCATCCTAAGCGATGCAAGCGATTTAATTTTCAAAATAATCGTTTAGAAACTCAATTAGATCAAGTTTTTCATATTTTGGTCTCCTATGTATAACACTGAAAAAATGTGATGAACTTCTTTGGCTTGATTTCTCATGTCAGCGTTCACCGCCATTAGTGTTGTTAATGGTATTTCATGAAAATATGACGGAACATTAAAACTTCAAGTATTTTTAAAGTTTCTGTATCGCTGAAGTGGAGGCAGTCAAGTAATATTTCTAAGTAATAGATTCATAAATCCTTCAGAGTTAAAATGCAATTTTTTTTATTATGTTTCTGAATGCCATGCAGGTACCTCACTTCCTGGAGAAAGAGAAAGTGACCCTTCCAGATTTGTTGTCCAACATCGGAGGTATTGTCGGCGTTTGCCTGGGTATTTCCCTCATCACCATCTTCGACATCGTGGAGCAGGTTTGCTCACGCATCCGATGGAAATTTCCGCGAAGAAATGAAGTCGCACACAACTGAGGTCACCGGATATGTGGTCACGAATGCCATTATTCTGCCATGAACCCTCTCGCAACGATTTGAGTATGAGCATGTTAGTTGCAATAAGACGGTCATGTAAACATTTTCGCACGTCGAATCCAAAATATCGCAGTTAACAAGTGTGCTGAAGATGAGGACATGGGAAATACCCGCAGTCAATTCTCTATCGTAAAGCCTTCTTCCCCTTTCGCATGCGAACATTCTCGTAATGTCGACTCGTTCGTTAGTGCCATGAAAAAAACGACGTGGAAGTAGACATTTAACGGATGCAGGAATAGGAGGACTGGACTCATGCAATACCATTGAAAAGCATGAAAGTGAAGGAAAAGAAAATGGTTGGGCAAGGAATCCAGATTTGGGGGATCGGGTCCCACATGAAGAATTGCTTTCATGACATATGTTCTCGAGTACATGTTGATTCAATTACTTACTCGTATATGTCCATTTTTAGAGTCAGTAAAAAATAAATTTCAAATTAAAGTGATAAAATAACATTGTAATCCATATATAGCACTTATCTGTACATGTAGCACTTCAAAAAAGTTAGCTTGAAAACTGAATCCTCACAAGTTATGCGTTTCACGCCATCACCATGGGAGTGAAATTTGGTAAATATTCACTAGGGAAAAACCATTCTCGCCATTGTCCGTATCGATCTGTCATGTTAATCGCATTTCGAAAGTCTTTAATACGCAATCAATGAAGTCAAACGAGCGCTAATTCGCTTCCTCCGTACGGAGGACGGAGTAGGACCATGATTGTGAAATGAAAAAAACATCGGTTTAAGTAGAGGTCAGTTATGAAATACAAAGAAAAAAAAAGATATTTCAAGTTTTAAAGAAATTCATTGCATTTTCATTGCCGAGGTGTTCCGAGATGGGAAGAAATACGTCCGATGTTTCACCGAAAGTATGAACTGACCTCAGAAGATTTGTGAAGAACTGTCTTTTACTGCATCCGGTGCATTTTAAAGTGAATTCAATGCATATATTCTTAAAACTCCACAGTTTTCATTTTTCTCATCCAAAGTATTCCAAATTATTTTCCCATCGAGAGAGTGCATTTGCCTACTCTATGTGAATCCTGGCATTTTTAAAGGACATTCCATCAATTGTGATATACTATCTGATTACATTGAGCATTTGGTTCCGACAGCTTTGTCTTTTTTACTGTGGTATTTTTCTTCTCCATCCTAGATGTAACTTAAGCAACATAAGTACTCCTCGACGGTAGTCTATGCAGTATCCTACTTTTTATTTCCTCCTTCGAGTGAACAACTCTTAATGTTCTTCCTTTAATCTCCCATAATACACAACCCGAAATCCAATATAACCTGGCAATGACGCAGAAGACAATTAAGAAACATTCGCTTATGATAACACTTAGCATCTCAATGTCAACTCCTTGCTCTCGCTCTCTGCTCGATTGGAACAAAAGATTCATCATTTCTCTGCTACTCTCCAACCCGACAAACCCACGTGTTGGTCAGGCCCTCAACCGACGTTCCAGTTCACCCCATTGGGTTCAAATCGGGACTATGCGCCTGACATTCCAACTTTTGTATATTAATGTCTATGAACCATTGTGTAACAGCATCAGCGGTGCTGTTACACAATGGTTCATTATCCTGTTGGAATGGGGCATTATCCTGTTGAAATAAGAATGGGTCAGCAGAAAAAGATCTGCCGCATCGTAAGGAACATGGAATTGTCCAAAATGTTAAGGTAGTCTTCGGCCTACTTTAACCTCATATACCAGTCTGAGCCACGTGTTTCGACGGGAAAGTGCATAGGACTATGAAAACAGGGGTGTCCAGCTATTTTTTGGAGGGTATTGTATTTTGGAAAATCAAAGCGAGATAATTCCAACTCTTGCCGCATGCACTCCTGCTGCAATAGCAGAACCATGCAATTGGTTGACCTATGGTCTTTAAGCATAAGCATTTGACCTTTGTTTTCATTTTTGGTGACTGACTTGTACCAGCAATAGCACTAGTGCCAATGAAAAATAAAGAGGTAAGAAAGGTTTCCTCTGGAAGACGTGGAACTTGAATGCAGTTGTTGAGATTTTCAATATATTGGTCAAATACAAATCCTCATTGAATGATAGACGCACGTGCAATAAAAGACATTCGTGGTCCTGATGTCATGAATCTTCAAATGGTAAGTAATTCCCTTCTATCTATATGTTTTCCTGAGAAAGAGGTCCTCATAATTTTGTGTAATAGAAGTAATTTTTTAGTCTGATCTGAGAAATGGCCTTTGTTCTAGACCTGATTGAGCCTTATGAGGTTTTGCGATAAAAATGGTGCAGATTTAGTTTCCACCATTCAATGACGAACAGGGAGGACGATTCTGCACTTTTTGGTATTTACGCCTCTGTCTCATGGACACTTACCTCCTCATTTTCATGATTCGTAATTCCCAGTAATATGCGAACTGGTCGCAACTAAATCAAAAGTAAAATGAAGTAAATGCCGACATTTAGTTTGCAATTCGTCTTTGCATGGGCCTTGCCAAGAGTATTAGCTTAAATGTGTTTTTGGATTGAATCTATTCCAGCCATGACGAAATGGATATTCGGGAATTTTGCGAAATACCATTTTCTAGTGGAATATTAAGTTCGACGTGATGCAAGATACTAGCATGCGGCCCCAACAGGTCCCAACTTCCATTAATTTCGCAATTTTTCCGTCAAAATAGTTTCCTTATTAACTTAAAGAAGTCGTGGGCTTGTCAGAATTCATCATCTTAAACAGTAACGCTGAGAGAAGCAAGGGAAATCCCTTAGATCGTTCAATAGATCAGCATGATTTCATTCAATTATTTCAGCCATCTTTCTAGGCATGCATTTATATATCCATGACTACTCGCTTCTGACTAATGTAGTACATATTAACTGATTCTCAATCGAGATTTCAATTAATGAGAACCCGCTTCTCTCAGCGTGGAAGGAATGAATGACGCATACTGCAGGCCGTGCTGAGTGAAGTGGCTTAATTCCAGAGACTTCCTCTCATCTGCGTCGCGAAGTGACTTGATTCAAGAAACGGAGTTTCCACGTCCAAAAATATTGCTAACATGTCTTGAATGGAATATTTATTTAAATCTAACGAATGGGCATACGCTTATGAGTGTTTACGATGTCTCCAATATTTTGCAACTTCCAGACAATGCCGAAGAGGCGTATGCCTCTAATCAAGTTTCATTTACTAACGTCGATTTTTTTAAAGCAAGAATCCAACGTCAACGTTCGTAAACGAGTTCTATGGCACCCATCACTGTCTTCGTTAAGTGGAGCCAAAGCATTGGGAACTCCTGATTGTTAATATTCAATAGGAGAGTCTCATCTCAAGAAGACGTTCATTCAGGGCACTCGCACTCAGCTGAGCACAAAAGAGCATGTAGGACTATGGCTCTTATCTTTTAAGCAACTATTTATGAGGAGCAAATGGGGTAGCTGTCAATAGCCCATCACAATGAATAAAAAAGAGCAATTGATCTCTCCCTACGACGTTTCCTTGGTGACTAAAACCTAGCATCTTGTGTTTTGAGCGCCTCAGTGTGTGCATATTCTTGTGTGCTAAAGAGTGTCGAATCTTTAATCCTATGAAATTTTTCGCAACTAAACTTGTCAAATGAGATACTCGCATTAGTTCATAATGCAGTTTTCCATAAGGGCATTATCGCATCAAGGGTGGCACAATGTATATCTGACATACGCCTGCAGTATGACTTGAAATCCGAGGAATTCCTGCAGGCGTACGTCAGATGTATTGTGCTGCTATGGAGATATGGCTGTCGCTTGATCTCTAATCCTTCAGGCACTAGTATCCCTAACTCCGAACCATAGGAAAACTTTTCAGATGGGAAGAAAGAACAGATCTGAAGGAAAAGGTGGGAGAAAATGGCTGGTATTGTGACATTAAGAGTTATTTTAATTACATACTCCGGAAACGATTCCGAATTTGAGGAGTAATATCATGGGAAAGTGTGGAACAGCTCTCCTTCTGGAATTGAAAATAAATATTTGAAACGAAGTGATTGACAGATAAGAAATTAATGGAATATCCGATGAATCAACCATTGTCATGCTCCTTTGCACTGGAAATCACAGATCATGAGCATTCGTTCATTTTTTCTCGCTATGTTCTTGAAGGGAGAGGCACACGTGAAATCTGTACTTTCCTATGTTGCACATGTAGCGGATCCGTCATAGGAACGCCTTCGTGTTTATTTACGCCTTTGGATATGTGATATTTTGCAACAACACGTTCATCCAATTCATGTTATGTATTGCCATTCATAAGTATAACAACATCTGATCGTTGCCAAACTTCTCAGCACCTATGGCATCATCTGGGAAAATGTTCATATCCTTAGACAGCTCAATCCGTTCCCTTTGGAAAACGCTCACTCATGTTATTTGTGGCAAGATATGTCCTTTATTTGATTGAGAAACCGTATGGTTCGATCTTTCCGCTTGAAATAATTAAAATCCATCCCCAACCTACTAGATGAAAGTCTACATCTCCCCTTGCACGCCATGTGAGAATCATGTTTCCACTATGCACTTATCGAAAGGAAAATCTTTTATCGGTGTCCTCCACAACTCTTGCTAGTGATTCAAAATGTCGGTACCTGTAGCATCACAAGAGATAAAAAGAGTTCTTTCGATAACTTAATTTTTTTTGGTTTTGCAGAGCGGTCATTACCATCAGGGTTTGTGCTACCATACTTCAGAAAATTTCATGAACTAAATCTGCCTTGGAATTACAATCGCAGAACATCATCCTGCCTCCATCCCTACTCCTGGCATGCATGTTGCCCTAGTCAGGACGCGGGGATAATTGTTTCCCTTTGTTTCGAAGCTACCTCTGACCATTTCGGGCAATTCCTTCCCATATTGTCATCACTTTCTCAGTTGTGAGCATGGCTATTGATCGTTTCCTGCATACTGAGTAGTAACCGAGAGTAGATACTGAAACACTGCCGTATATGGCATATAAGTTATGCCATGAGAATTATGCAATCGATTGTGAGGAGCACATTCAAAGGGAAAAATGGCTAATTCCTTGTCCACTTCAAACTCACCATTAGCTCGAGAAAATGCCGGAAACTATTACGTATTCGTAATAGCTAATTAACAAATCTTTTAAGATTCAAGAGACACGCGAACAGTCAAATTAAGGAAATGCCCGTCTCAAAGCCAAAACTCAGATTGGAAAAAGTGTTCCAAGGAGAGCGCCGGATGAAAGGAGGGAAATTGCGACTCGCCTTGAAGGCAATAGTGATCTTGGCTTGTGCCACCATTTCTCTATGGCAGGTAAGTGTTGTTATATCACAGTTATTTAATCAATGGTCCTACTGTAACACATGGTGATAGACTGAGAACTGCAGGTGAGGCTCATGTTGGAGGAATACCAGTCCTTCCCTACGAACACGCTGTACAAAATAGATGATGTTGAAGCCGTCAGTGCTCCTGCATTTACTGTCTGCCCAAAACCATCTGTGAAGAGTTCTTTGGCAAACAGAAAGGATTTGGGATTCAATGCATCCCAGAATGCATCCGTTTCTTTGGGAGAAATAGTCTGGTTTGACAACCTCCGACTTCAAAGGCCACAGAATAAATCAAGTGCGAACGGGGAAACCATCATTCAAATTTCAGACGGTGGGATTTTAAAGATTATCTTTGGAAATTGAGAAATTTATTAGCTCTAAAGTCGCCTTTGTGTATTTAACAGGGAGTGGACATTGGACCCAACGGACATTTTATGGCAAGGGGCTTTTTGGGCCCAATTTACAGTATTTCAAGTGCTTCACTCTGTTCCTGACGAAATATATCCTGACTGGACCAGGAAAATGTGCAGGGCAAAGCTTCATGTTCATGTTCACACCAATCAAGGACGCTCCTGATCCCCAGGTGAGAAGAAGGTAGTCATTATGAAGATAGGAACGTTGATCTTGTAACTAATATTAAATATCCTTTGAAAATTTCAAATATTACCCACACAGTTTGAAGTTTTCATCCACGATCAAAGGGAGAAATACACTTTCTTGGACATCTTTCGGCCAGAGAAAGTCGTCCTCCTCAATAACGCCATTGCCAATATATTCATTCGTCCTGAGATGATCCAGAAGCAGAGCAAGAAAGAGAATCCTTGTTCCGTGGATGAAGGCTATAGCTATTACAGGGTTTGTTCAAGTCATATTAGACATAACACTCAGAACAGGTTTTCAAAATGTATAAATTACCATGATGTGATGAATATTTCAATAGTGCATGGAGATATGCTTCTGGAAAGGATTCCAGTCGAATGAAGATTTTCAGGTACCATGTTTGCTCCCCACAATGCTACCAAAGGAAGTGAATCAGACGAAACCGGTATGTGAAAATCCCGAGAGCGAAAGAGCATTGCGCGAACAGCTGTGGAAAGCTATCAAGGAGGCCCCGAAGCTGCTGAGCGAATGCAGCTGTCCGAGGAGGTGCAATGCAACTGTTTATCACATTTCAGGGGATCCAACTTCTTTTTGTCAAGATCAGGCCGGAGTGAAGTCGACGAATAACAGTTCCTTCCTGTTTTTCAGTTTCCCCTCTAGCCAGGTTCGTTTCCCCTATATTTCCAAGATTCACTTTTCCCATATACTTTCCTCGCATGACGATGTCCGCAACTGTAGGTTTATATGTTCTGTCAGGTGCCGCACTTCTTGGAGAAGGAAAAAACATCATTGCTGGACCTCTTGGCCAACATAGCAGGAATCGTTGGCATCTGCCTCGGCGTTTCCTTGATATCCATCTACGACGTCATCGCGCAAATTTCCTCACTCATTCACGAAAAACTGCTGCGCAAAAGTAACAAGGTCATCCAAGAGAGCAATCCTTAATCAGAACATGGACCATCACCCTCCATTCCTGTCAATCTAAAGGAAATTGTTAGACTGTCATCCTAGGCGGATAAACTTGGAAAGCTTAAACTTTTGCATGAATGTGACATCGGAGCCAAGGTATTCGGGGGAAATTTCAAATTCGCATGCAAAAAAATTTGCAGGGCGACTTTTCAAAAACTTTTTCTTGTCCTCGCGAATCGGGTAGAAATATAATGATTAAGCATGGATCATACGTAACTGGGGTGATGTTGAATGAAAGAAATTCATAGTTTTGCAATGCATATCCTTGGGGCAGAGGTTTCGACAGGGTCGACTTTTCTAAAAGCATTTTTGCACCAGTGAAAAGAGAAAACGGATAAGTCTGAAAGTTTGTAGGCATGTAATTTTCCGAATGCAAATTTTAGTTTTAAAAAAAAATTAATTTGTGCGCCCTGTGATTCCCCTGTGATTTGTGATTCCCTTGGGGGAAAAAACAAATAAAGGGTAAAACAAATTTTCCCGATTCTTTCTTGTTGCAATGGGAAAGAGGACTGAAGTTCAAATTTGGGGTTGAAGTATCTGTTTCATTACTGAGTGCAAATCCGACTTTTTAAATTTGTCCTCGCAGGCCAGATTCTAAAACGATCTGAGGTTAGGTCCACAATAAATGATTGGAGTAATAATTACGAAAGAAGCATCGGTTCGTCCCCTCATATTCCGACAGCCACATTCTTTTCATACGTTTTCGCCACTTCAAAAATGAATTAAAGAATCACTAGCCTGGACAATGAGCGCCGAAGGCGAGACCTACCAATTTTGTTTGCCCCAAGGACAAAAAACTCGCTATTTTCAGCACAAACTCAATGTATTCACTGTGATTGGAGTAGGGATACTGTCTTATTGTAAACAAACACGGCTATTTGAATTGTATCACAGCGATTCATACTAATGCCATCAATGTATAAATACTGCGAACACTGATTTCAAATCATTACATCAGCATTGCAATGATTTTTTTAAAATCCACCTCCATACCCAGAATGCACGTCAAGTTAAAATGTAATTTTTGGGATTTGAAACTACTGAAAACTCGATAATTGAGGAGTCCTCTGAAAAAAGGGCGTATGTGTCCATACGGATGTATGAGCACATATGCCCTTATCCGGAGATCTCCTTAATTGCATTGAAGCTAGGACGGAAAACCCTAATACTGACATGATACGATATTGATGTATTCGCATGTACAAAGTAACACGATTCACTAATACATAGTATTACTGCATGACTGCATGAGAAATTGAAGACAAATGCAAGACCACACCTCGCGAAAGGAATTCCAAATATGTGACTGTGGATATGAGACGGAAAATGATAGGGAACTCGGCGACATTTCCTTTTGGAATTACTTCGAAGGCATGGCAATACCGTTGAAGGGTGTATATTTACTGAGGGTCATGATTTCATTATTATTCTTCATCGTGTGGTTTTCAGGTTTGCTTTTGTATTTCTCTTTCAACACTGGTGACTTCAATGACGAACATATCCCGCATACTTTGAAACACCCAGGAATGCTAATCCAGAATTTTTCACAGCAGCCTGATGCTAAAAGAAATGAAAATCCATTGGAACCCGATTCATTGAGTGAGGAATTACGGTCCTTCATTCGTCACCGCACTCTGTAATTTCCTCATATGTAACAACTGTTTCACGCACATTGTTTCATGTAAGCAGAGAAGAGTGTCATTTAATTAATAAATGTGACCGTCAATTGAAACTACGTATCATGGTATTTTGTAGTGAACATATTTATGGGAAAAATTGAATTATCAAATAATAAAGTTGTGCTAACACATCGGAATAAGGTCAATAAGTGAAAGTTTCTCTGACTCGGTGTCGAACAACGAGACAATGCATCTGAAAGAGAAGATAATTACTTGCAAGCATAAGAGATAAGATATGTCACATTGAATGTGAAAGTTTTGGAAGATCTAAGACGCATGTTTCCATTTTGCCATCATTACAACGAGGCCAATCTTAAAGTTCCACCGAAAGCAAATTTAATGCCTCGAAGATGTTAAAGTCTGGTCGAATCAATCAGTTTCTAGGTTTTGCTGCTTACGCCTCTCTCTCCATGCAACAAAAATTGCAGAACTCATCATCTGGAGAAACTATTGATAATTTCGCCTAGACATGTTCACTCTCTACTTTCATCATGAAAATGTATACGTTCATCTTCATGTGACTGTTGTAGGAAAGTTATATGCAGTGGTACTAATGCGCTCCTTGAATTTTGACATTGATGACGGTCGCATGGTGCTTCTGAGTAGCGCCATGCGATTTTTTATTTCAAAATTTTATTCAAAATATGGGGAATGGGCAACAGGGATCATAATTATCGTTTCCCGCTTGGTAGTTCCACATAGACAGATGCAGAAAATAGAAATATGATATCCTCAGGCAGAAAATTATCTTCAGACATCTAGAAGGGTGAGAGAGAAAAATAAAGTCCAACCATGGTTCTATATTGTGGCATCAACTCGGGAAGAACATTTTAGTCCCACATTTTTATTTGTTACTGGTCTAAGTGTAAAAAAGTTAACATTTAATCATGTTCAGTTAGTTAAAATATGTTTTTTCGCTTATTGCATGCCATATAGATTGAAAATAAATTAAAACACTTTCCAGTACTCAAAGCACTTTTTCCCGCAAACTACGAATTCCATAGAGCGCTGGAATGTTGTTCAAGAAACATAGGAACGGTCTTCCAGTTAAATTAGCTCAATTTCCACCCACTTAACTGCAAAATAATGACGTTTTATAGTGACGCATTCAATATCGTTTCTGCATGACATTTTCTTGACCGCAACGTGAAAATATCAGGATAATCCCTATTAAAGTAGCTTTAAAAATTTTCAAATATGATTCTTTTATAGGAAGGGCTCCTTCATATATATCCCGAGCCCCAAGACAAGTATTTAAAAGTCTCTACGTACGAAAATCAGCACAAAAAACGCAGCCTTGGGCAACACGTGCGTTCGAATCTCGGTATGTTCAGGGGTGAAACTGATGATTATTCGAAACACCATGAAGTAAAACGATTTTGGGTACTTCAAATATAGACGTCGTGGGAGGCTGCCTAAATGAATTAGGGAAATTGTTCTAGACCTGAAAAGCATTTATGCCTAATGAGATTGACCTGCAAATTCCTCGGAAGAAGATGCAGAAGAAGTACTTGTTTGATTGGTGTTGCCCTTGCAGTCTGAATCATTATGTTATGAAGGTTAAATGGGCAGGTGCCATTGGCTGAACTGCTCCCAATTGAGGTGCCAATCTTGCATGAATTGACCTGTCCGTTCATCACTCCCTCATATAATATGAAGTATGTCTCACATCATCTCTTCATCATTCCCATTACGTTACATAAAAGAGAAAATGCATATTTTACCGAATACACTGACGTATTTTTTTTATTAGAACCCCTAGCCTTTCCATTCAGCAAGATAGGACACGAAACACTTTTGCTTTTATTCATTCATAGCCTTAATTCATGAAGAGCACATGGAATGGCTGTCCGTCACACTGCCCACAAAAGTGTAAATAATGAGAATTTATTGATAATCTCTTCCATGGTCTTTGAATGCGCATCCTTGGGCACTTTTATTCAGTACTAGCGAGTTTGTTTGCCCTTCGGGCAAACAAACTCGCTAAGGACGCGCCTTCGGCGCTCTGCGATCTAAGGCATCCGTTTTCGATGCTCACCCACTTAAGCTACTTGAGAGTTTTAACGCAATAATTCTTTATAGACTATGTTCGCTCTATGGGGAGTTCTTTCATTATCTCCATATCTATATTTAGGCACAAGTACTTTTATGGAATCCCTTTTTTTAACTCTACCTAACGCTACGTACAGCTGTCCATGACAAAATACATCATTCCATAAATCTAGCCCAACGGTGTCTAATGTTTGCCCTTGTGATTTATTAATAGGGAGAGCATATGCCAACTTCAAAGGAAATTGTCTTCTCATTATTTCTAAACCAGCCCTACCAGCTTAGAATTTGAATGGGATTCTTGGAATTAGCACTCTTCTGCAATCACAGCTCTTCTCCCCAAGAATCTGTGCTTCAATTAGCAACCTTGAGATCTTGTTAACAAACAATTTCGTGCCAATTACTATTTGATCTTGAAAAGAGAGGTTTCTCATAACAATACAGTGTGCACCTTCTTTCAAAGTCAGCCTATGATTGGGAACACCAGGCTCAGTGAGAGTGTGTAGAAGATCAGCATTGAAATGTTTCGCATCAGGATTTCCTTCATCACAGACCAGCGTATCAGCACTCCACAAGTTGACTGACTCCCCATCCAATCTGTTGAGCACTAAATTATTGATTTCATCTATGTTATTGTTGGTTCCCGACAAAATGGCCCTTGTACTGCATGCATATGGATTGTTTAGGACAGATATTGGATATACAACATTAATTAGCGAGTTTAATGAATCGACCCCATTTACATGAATCAATGGAATCACATGCACATCCTCGATGGCTTCAGCAACTTTGACCTTCCCAATACGATCTTCCCCAACAGCCAAAACAAAGTCAGAAAAATCCGGATCACCCTTTGATCTTTCGGGCTCGGTTAAAGGAAACGACTGCACCTTTGCCCAGAGTGGGGATGACTTTATTGACGCATTAATTATGTCGTTTCTTGACCCGAACTTAACAACTGGTGGTATTTGCCTAAAGTCGCCAGCCAAAAGTGTTACTTTACCACCGAAGGGAAGATTTGGTTTGTTAAGGAAGTCACGGAGTGTACGATCTAGTGTTTCAAAATTGTGCTTTTGAGACATTGGAGCTTCATCGCATATTGTCACTGAAGCTGCTATTAAAAGTTGAGCTCGCTGACTATTGGCTGAGATGTTGCAATATGCTCTTGGGTCCGTGGTTTCAAGAGGCAACTTAAAAGTAGAGTGGGCGGTGACTCCTCCTTCATGGTTGAGAGCAGCAATGCCTGTT